TGGAAATATTATATGTACTCTTTATTTTTTGTATATGAATAATATGCATAATTAACAATAAAAATAATTAATAATACCCTTTATTAACTCCTGTTTTTAAATATTAATTATTATTTTTTAATGCTTAAATAATATTTTAGTGTTAATTATATCTATCTATCTAGTTTTATGTGTACTACATGTCTGACTTTCATATAGTACTTGTAACTATTTCTTCATATCCAAAAATAGTAAAATTAAAATTATATTTATTGTAATATGACGTGTTATGCTTTGAATAATTGATTGTGATCTATGGAAGCGGAGGTTAGTCACTTGATTAAACAGCGAAGAAAAAAAAAGCATTTTGCCAATTCTCAATCAAAAAGTAGAGAAATATTCATCCTCCGTCTAATACAAAAAATATTGATGTAGTAATACATAAAGATGTGTTAATGTGTCACATTTTATCGGTAAAATAGCGATCTTGTCGGAGTTCGAACTCTTTACTTTAGGATCCCCTTAAACACAATCTGAAACTGTACTGGGGTAATAATATCACAAATTAAATTGTCAAATAATTGTACGCTGAACGAAGTTAAGAAACAAAACGCGCTTCGATTTTACGTACGTCTCTCAAGCAATATTAACGAGATCGGTACAGCGAACGTTGCAGGATGTCAGATGTGTGTCCGCGTGCCGGTTTATAGCGTGATTGCGAACCACAGCAGTTAAATTTCGACATCGACAAATATCTCAGACCGTCGATATTAAAAAGGAACGCTTTTTATTAAAAACGCACGGAGTGAGGCGAGTCGCGAGAAAATGTCTACCCTATGGAAATGGAGCGGCACTTATTTGCACGCACCTCGCTCGTATTTTACGCATTGGCGCATTTTTACCACCATGCGTTCTCAATACGAAGACACAAGCCCGTTAAAATGTCAACCACGATCACGGGCTTCGGGAGATGATTTTACATAAACCGCGCCGCCCCTTCGCTTAATACGCTCTTTCTCGGTGTCTCTCTCTTTCATTCTTCTTTTTCTCTCATCGGATTCATGAAATTCCGTCAGCGTTATGCAACACACATTTTTATCTCACAATGTAGCGGCCTTGGATGAACTACAAGCGCACCGTTCACCTACTGCCAAAATTGGCCGCGTTTCCTTCTACTATTCCTTAGTTGTCGAAATTG